CGGGACTAGAGGCTACTTCATGTGGAGTAAAACCATCAGAGAGAAAAGGCTTCTGAGAAGCTAGCATTTAAACTGAGACCTGGCTGACAAGGAGGCTCCTGCCCTATGAGGCTTTTAAAATACTTATTTGGCTGCACCAGGTCTCAGCTGCAGCTTATGGGGTCTAGTTCCCCAACCAGGGATCAAACCCAGTCCCTGTACTGGGATCGTGGAATCTTAAGCAGTGAACCACCAGAGAAGTCCGCAGATGAGAATCTTGGGTGTATTGCATCAGGCTAGGCTGAGGGAACAAAGAGGCCAGAAATTCTAGTAATTTATTACAAACCAAGTTTTAATCTTGCCTGTGCTATCTAGTCCAAACAGGTGTTCCTGGTTGATAGATCTCACCCAGGCAGTGCTCAGGGAACGAGGCTCTTCTCTTACAAGTCTGACATCCCCTTGGCTTCATCCTATTTGGTGGAAGAAGAGCATGGAGGAGGAAGCGGATCACTTTATTTCTGTTCACATGCCCTGGAAGAGAACTTGATAATATAGTCACGCCTACCGCAAGGAAGGCTGGGAAATACACTAGCACTGCTGGGCTACAGTGCTGTCACTGTGGAGCAAGCAGTTCTGGATGGACAGCCCAGGGCCTCTGCCACACTGGGGAAGAGCTTTCCCAGCAAAGGCCCTCAGATGTGAACACACACGCTTGTTTAAGAAGCAGAAGGTTGGCGGGGGCTGGCACACACCAGCGGACAGATTGGAGATGAGTCAGAAAGAGAGGCTGAATCAGATCAGCTCTGGCTTTGGAGGCCTGAGAAGAGAATGGATCTCATTCCAAACGCTCTGATGAGAAGCTGTTGGAGGCTCTGAAGCAGGGAGGTTGAATGATATCCCAGTTTTCACCAACCCATATTGCTGGTGGGACAATATGGAGGAAGGGACTGAAAGTTTAACTTCCCCCCCCCCCCCCAGCTCACACGACCTTAGTTCCCTGCCCCAGGGATTGAACTTGGGTCCACGGTAGTGAAAGTGCCAAGTCCTAACCACTGGACCGCCAGGGACTTCCCAGGTGTTCAACATTTTAAAATAAAACCCCCTAGATTTAAAGTTGCCTTGTGTTAGTTTACCCAAGCCTAGAGTTGCAGATTGTCTGCACGTGCAGGTACCAGAGTTAAGGTATGGGAACCTGGACCATCACTGTTTTTTTTTACAATTAGTCCCTTCTCTTCCCTTCTTAGATAGAAAGCAACTTCACAAGCCTAATGGCCAAGGAAATATTTACTCCCTCCTCTAGGAATATAAATATATTTGCCTTGCATTGTGGGGAAGGGAGGAATTGGTCCCTTAAACCATCTTCCACCTTGTTTTTTTTAACAGTCTTGTCCAGTTGTCTTTTAAGGTTATAGTTGCTGGAATTTTTTCTTTTTCCTCTCTCAGGCAGTACACACCTTTGGAAAGAAGAGCAGAGGAGACTTGGTAGCCCAGGTCTGTGGCAGTTCTATGATCTCGCCCGCCTCCCCAGCTTCCTCATCGAACAGTGTTCGGCAGTAGACTTAGATGCAAACAATATTATTAGAAAAAAAAAGAACAATCATTTTTCCTGTGTCACTGGTTTGGAGACTAAGATTTTCCCAGGGCCCTAGAGTGACTCAGTTGAGGCTTTTGACTCTGGATGCCTCAGAGTCTCATGCCCTTTCCACATGATCAGCAAAGTCTTGTGTAATAAATGAATAAGTTTCAGTTTTGAACTTGAATGGCTCCCAATAAGAGGATGGACAGGCACCCTCTCTTTGTTCTTTTTCTTTTCACAGGCAAAAATGGATTCCATATTTGAGCTCTGGTGCAAGCATGCCTGCTCGGTTGTGTCCGACTCTTTGCCACCCCATGGACTGTAGACCACCAGGCTCCTCCGTCCGTGGGATTTTCCCAGCAAGAATACTGGTGCGTGCTAAATCGCTTCAGTTTTGTCCAACTCTGCAGCTCTATGGAATGTGGCCCACCAGGCTCCTCTGTCCATAGGATTCTCAAGGCAAGAATACTGGGGTGGGTTGCCATGCCCTCCTCCAGGGGAGTGGGATGCCATTTTCTCCTTCAGGGGATCTTCCCGACCCAGGGATGAACCTACATCTTCTGCTTTGGCAGGCGGATTCTTTACCACTGAGCCACCTGGGCCTAGGCCAATTATCTGCATGTGGACACACACACTGGACTCCCTCCCTTTTCCTGCAAGAAGTCTTGAGAGACTAAAATCTACCTCATTTCTCCCATCCATTCACATACCTATACAAGCCTAAGGAATTTGCTAGGTAGTAAGGCTGTAAGTTCCTCCTGAATGTTGTAAAAAATTGAACCTGACCATTCCCCAATGCATGAAGATAGAAACAACATGCCAGAAATGCCACCGCCTTCATCAGACCTGTTAATAACAAGTGATAATAACATCTTTTGAAGCTGTCATGTGCTCAAGCCATGAGTAAACTTCATAGGAAGGTGGCACCCAGCAGAAGATGCTGCCCAGATGGTGGCTTGTTATTATTAAAAGGAGGGAGGAATCCCAAAGCTAGCTTATTCCTTGCTGTGGACTGAATAGATTCTCAGAAGCTGGAGTTGCATCAGACAAGTTGGGGCCTGTAGGCACCCAGTCTAGGTGGAGTGGAAAGGGAGTGCAGCAAAGCTATTAGACCGACAGGTCATTCAAGCCAGCTTTCCTCCTACTTGCCACAAACACTTCTGGACACCAGGTTGTTTCTTTCCAAATTCAAAGTAATGTTCCCTCTGCCTTCAGGCTTTTCTTCACCTGTCCAGTGACTGCAGCCTCAAGCCCCACCTGTCATTCTGCCCTCTTCTATGCTCCACAGAGGCTGTTATCTCCTATTTTCCTGAACTCAGAAAATACCCTGGGTTTAGGGATTTTGCTTCTTTCTCTAAAGAGTTAGACCAAGTCCCTGTAGGGTTACCTCCTACAATTGTTGTTCAGTCGCTCAGTTGTGTCTGACTCTGCGAGCCCATGGACTGCAGCATGCCAGGCTTCCCTGTCCTTCACTATCTCCCAGAGTTTGCTCAAACTCATGTGCATTGAGTTGGTGATACTATCTATCGCATCCTCTGTCACCCTCTTCCCCTCCTGCCTCAGTCTTTCCTAGCATCTGGGTCTTTTCCAATGGGTTGGCTCTTCTCATCAGGTGGCCAAAGGATTGGAGCTTCAGCATCAGTCCTTCCAATGAATATTCAGGACTGATTTCCTTCAGGATTGACTGACTTCATCTCCTTGCTGTCCAAGGGACTCTCAAGAGTCTTCTCCAGCGCTACAGTTCAAAATCATCAATTCTTCAGTGCTCAGCCTTCTTTATGGTCCAACTCTCACATCAGTACATGACTACTGGAAGAAATATAAAGAGATCTTTGGCTCAGAAAAGGGTACAAATGGTTTCTGGGCTCCACCGTTTGCTTTATGATTTTAGGCAACTTACGCTCAATGTCTTCACCTGTATCAGAAATGTTATTCAAGGATTTGTGAGACAAATGTATGGAAAGCACTTAGCTCAGTTCATGGCACACAGTACTCATCACTTATCATCATCATCATTGTTGGTATTAAGAACTCTTGTCCTCGATCCTGATCCTGCAGTGGTAATAAAATGCAGCAATCTATTTCTCCCTCCTTTTTCTTGGCACATAGTTTTTGCCCCCTTATCCAGTCACATAAAAACCAAAAAATAACTACTACCATCTTGGGTCTCTCCTGGGGAAACTGAGGGATGGAGAGGTATCATTTTTATGTGTATTGGGTGGGGTCCGGCTAGGATAGGCTGTACAATCAGTGTTTTTGATCACTGTTGGAGTGACCGAATCTGAGAGGCTGAAGGAGGGGCAGCCTGAAGAGGGAAGGGGGAAAATCAGAGACCTGTAGCTGAGAACTGGGGTATCTTGAGAGTAAGAAAGGTGCCAATCATCTCACAATATATACATATATCAAATCACATCTTATACCTGAAACTAATATATGGCATATTTCTCAACTTTTAAAAAGTGAAAAAAAAAAATACAATGACTATATATTGACCAAAAAAAAAAAAGACTAGAAAGGAACTAATGAATGTATCAGAAATATACTTATTTGGGTACCAAATGAGTGAGCGAGCCAGGTAGGACTCTGAGAACTCTAAAGTTTAAGTGGCTTCGAAATACGAATTTGAGGAGGCGGGTGTGTGGGGAGAAGGGGAATCGTTAACGGTGGGCTTCGGGGCTGAGACTGTTACGTCCTCAGGACATGTGGACCAGCTGAAGAAGTGGGATAAGGGTAAGAACAGGCAAGGGCTTCGGGACTGAAGATGAAGTTTAAGAGTGTTTTGGGGGTGGTGAGGAGCACCGAGGACCCGGAATGGCCTAAAACTTGGGACTGGGCGGTGAGGGTGGGGAACCCCGGGCTGGTGAAGGCCAGTCGGCAGGGATCTGTGGGCAGGTCCGGCAGGGGGTCTCTACGCTGCCCAATGCCAAGGGGCCTGGGTTTCTGGGCTGAGAGCCGGAGTCTGAGCTTTGAGGGGTCTCCAGGGTAAGGAAGGGGAGGCTACGGGTGGCCTCTGGCGGGCGGGGACGGGGTCTCCAGGTCCCGGGGGTCCGACCGGACTGGAAGAGGGTCTCCAGGGTCTCTGAGGAGGGGCCGGGGCGCCTGGGTCTGGAGGCCAAGGGGGTCTCCCAGGTCCCAGTTTCCCCGGCGCGACGCGGCGCCGGCGTCCCAGCCCGACCGCCGACCTAGGCGCCGCCCCGCCTGACATCAGTTCCTGCCGCCGCCGCCGCCGCGCACAGCCCGTGGCCTCCTTCCCCGCCGGCCGCGCTCCGGAGCCGCCGGGCCGCGGCGGAGCGAGGGGCCGGGCGAGGCGAGGGCCGGGCGGCGGGCGCCGGGCCCCGCGGCCGGCACGACGGAGCCCCCGCACGGCCGGCGGCAGCGGTTGGCGGCGGCCCCGGGGCCCCGGCGCGGGAAGAGGCGGCGGCGGGGCGGCGGCGGCGGCGGCGCCATGGAGCCGCGGGAGGTGAAGGACCGGATTCTGGAGAACATCTCGCTGTCGGTGAAGAAGGTGAGCGCGGCCTGCCCGCCCCGGCCCGGGCCCGGAGCCCTGAGCCCAACCCGACCCGCCCGGCTCGGGCCCTCGACCCCACCCAGCGCCCCCTCTTTTCCTCGGGTCGCTCGCCCGGGGTCCCTCCTGTCACCGGGGCTCAGGACACCGCCTTTCCCCTCCGCGACCCCGGGGACGAGAAGCCGCCGGGAGCCCCAGGACGATGGAGAAGAAGCCGGGGCGGCTCACGTGAGCGCCGCTGCTTCTGAGCTATTTTTACAGAACAAAGTTGAGGTCAGCATCCTGGGAGCTTCCACATAGCCAGGCCCTGGGGCCCTGCGTCACTTAGAGGGGCTGCCACTCGCCAGGACCCCCTACTCTGAGCGTAGCGGCAGAAAAGCTCTGGGAGGGCCCCACCTGCCGTGCATCCCTGGGCGGTATCGCTGCATCCTCCATCCGCCCTGTGCCTGCATCTCGGGGAGTCGGCAGTCAGGGTAATGGCCCATGACAAGCAGCTTCCAGTCTTCCCAGTTCGGGGTGACATTGCCTCTGGTCCTGAGAAGTTTCTTGAATAATCTTGCCCAAGATGGCAGTTTTGAAGAGGCATACTTCGGAGCTTTGATTGAGAACTAAAATACCTTTCATTTCGGACAGAGACCTATAGAACTTGGTGACACCACAATGTATGGTGCTCCCTGCAGGAGAGATCAATGTCCCAATTCCAGGTAGAGAAAAAAATATGACCTATTAAAAGCATATATTAATAACTATCTGTATGAAGAAGTCAGCTCATCTGAGAAAGGGTCCCCATGCCAAAAGGTAGGATTCATATTCACTTAAAACCAAACCAGAACTGTCAATCATTTGAAGAATATTATTGCAGTGGTTTCCTAATTTGACTTCCTAGTTCACCCCATAGTCTCAGAAAATGGGGTAGGTCGTGGGGGGATGACGTGAGGGGTAAGAGAAGGCTCATCAGATAAATCACTTCCAAAATGAAGACAATTCATTAAAGGAAGCATTATGTTTAAATAATCATGTTCCCCTCTTTCCCCGCTTAAATTCCTCAAAAGCAGCATAGACCAGCAATTTTACCGTTCATAAAGATCGATGTGGCTTAAAAAGAAAAGGAGATTTAAAATGTGCTCTTACTATAATGTTCCTTTAAAAGTACAGCTAAAAGTAGCATTGTAGACATCTGACAGAAGTTTTAGTTTTCCTAAGCTTTGCTTATGCAATGGGGCATTGTTTTTGCTTACTCAAGGAGTGTAGGATGAGCAAATACTTTGTCTAAAAGCAATCCATCTTTGGTAATGAAGACAAAAGAAGACAATTGACCTTTCTAATCTAATCTGGGCTGACTGTGGCTTCAAGTAGGCACCTTTCTAGTCTAATCTGGGCTGATTGTGGCTTCAGGTAGGCCACACATTTTGATTTTGAATCTCTAACTTACAAGTAAATGGAGGAAAGTCCGGGTAGGAGGTTGGACATGTGCGTCAGCATGACTCTTTCGGGAGCAGGGATCTACTCTGTAAATCAGCCTGCCACTTATGAAAGAGTTGGGTGTGTTGGCCAAGATCTTATCATTGTATGCGCTTGGACAAGCATGACAGGAAGGTATGTCACACACTAGAAACTGGAAACTTGTCCCCAGGTACATCACAACAAGAGGTATGGCAAGTGTCATGTTTAAGAACATGAATTCTGGAGTCTGGCGGCCTGGGTTCAATCCCACCCTGCCAGTGAATAACCATGTAACCTTATGTAGGTTCCTTACCCTTTCTGTGTCTTGGTTTCTCATCTATAAAGCAGGGATAAAATCAGGGCTCTGGGGAAAATTTGAGAGTCTGTGTGTAGAGTGTTTAGCATGGTGCTTAACCCAGTCTTCAAAAGTTGTCTTAGTCTGTTTGGGCCGCTAAAGCAAACCACCGTAGACTGGGTGGCTTATAAAACAACATAAATTTATTTGTTATGATTCTGGAGGCTGAAAGCCTGAAAATACTGAGTCCCAGCATGGTGAGGTTCTGGATTTCCCTGGAGTCTCAGACGGTAAAAAATCTGTCTGCAATGCAGGAGACCTGGGTTTGATCCCTGGGGTCAGGAAGATCCCCTGGAGAAGGGAATGGCTACCCACTCCGGTGTTCTTGCCTGGAGAATCCCATGGACAGAGGAGCCTGGCAGGAGGAGCCTTACAGTCCATGGGGGTGGCAAAGAGTCTTACACAACTGAGTGATTTATCAACAACAAAAAAGTGGTGAGGGCTGTCTTTATGGCTGAAGACTGCTGACTTCTCCCTGTGCCCTCACATGGGTTGGGGGGAGGGAGCTCTCCTGGGTCTCTTATAAGAGCTCATCCCATTCTTGAGGGCTCCACCTTCATGACCTAATCACCTCCCAAAGTCCCCACCTCCTAACACCATCACATTGGTGGTTAGAATTTCAACATCTGAATTGATGTTGAAGGGGCATACATTTGGGTAGGAGGAGAAGGGGGCGCAACAGAGGATGAGATAATAGCATCACTGACTCAATGGACATGAGTTTGAGCAAACTCCAGGAGATAGTGAAGGACGGGGAAGCCTGGTGTGCTGCGGTCCCTGGGGTCAAGAGAGTCAGACACTACCAAAAAGCAATTACATTCAGTGCGTAGCATAAGTGGTTGCTTTTTCTGTTTGTTTGTGGTCAGGCAGTTCTTCACTTTTACAAGGTCTGAAGATGGCTCAAGGCCTTAGCACCTGAATATTGCTATATATCATTTAGACTTGTTACCCACTTCCTTTGTATGTCGTGTTTCAGAAAACTATTTTGATTCTCACATATGAAGGGCATTTGGTTTTCTGAATCAGAGTATCTGCTTCTAATAGGAATCAGTTCAACTACAGCAGGAGGCTTTGAGGGCTCACAGTCTTGTGGTCAAATTTGACCTTGAACATCAGTCTCACCTACATTTTTATATGTCACCATGAGAGTTGCTTTGCCTTTTCTTCCATGCTACCTCTGGTAAGATGGTCTGACCCATCCTTTTTAAGGATGTTTCATGAATAAAATGAGATGTGGGTTTCTGCAAAAAAAAAAAAAAAGATCCACGTGTGTAAGCTATGTTTACACAGGATATATGAGAACTTTTTATTGAAATAGAATATAGCTACACTTCTAAACATACAGTTGAATGGGCTCTCACAAAGTGAGCATATCCATGTATCCAGCACCTATGGCAAGAAACAACTATAGCCATCACCCCAGAAATGATGCCCCCAAGTGCAACCACTCTCCCTAAGCAACATTGTTGTTCAGTCGCCCAGTTGTTCCCAACTCTTTGAGACACCATGGACTGCAGTACACCAAGCTTCCCTTTTCTTCACTATCTTCCAGAGTTTTCTCAAACTCATGGCCATTGAGTTGATGATGCCATCTAACCATCTCATTCTCTGTTGCCCCCTTCTCCTCCTGCCCTCAATCTTTCCCAGTATCAGAGTCTTTTCCAGTGAGTCAGCTCTTTGTATGAGGTGGCCAAGTTATTGGAGCCTCAGCATCAGTCCTTCCAATGAATATTCAGGGTTGATTTCCTTTAGGATTGACTGGTTTGATCTCCTTGCTGTCCAGGGGACTCTCAAGAGCCTTGTTGAGTTCAGCTATTCTCACATCTAGATTTTGTGATGCTGAACATGCCCTGTAACACAAGAGATGCAGTAGCTGATATGAAGGCAGGATTTGTGGGGGTTGGAGAGAACTGGAGAATTTAATAGTTGGCACAGGTAAATGACAGTGATAACAATGAAAGGCACGTTCCTTATGAAATGTCTCAGGTGCAGATGATAAAGCTTGTGGTTGCCAATTTGTTAACAGCTGAAGAGAGACATCCAAGTCAAAGGCAGTGTTGGCATTTTGAACTGGCGTGTGGTCTACTAAGCAGCATCTTCTCCAGGGGGAAGGCTGCAGTTTTCATGAGAGTTTTGTTTCTGAGGAGCATGTCTGTTACGTATGCTTGCAGTCTGAGCAAAGGCTGTGTGCTGTCAAAGGCAGCCTTTACCCTCCAACACTTCATATATTGGTTGGAGGAAGAATTTTAACCAGGTGAAGAATTAATCACCAGGACAAGGAGACGCTTCAGAGCAGGCGAGCTTGTACGGAGTCTTGACAAATCAGTAGAATTCAAAGACAGAGAAGTGGCATTTGAGATAGAAAATAGTGGGCATTTAACATCCCCAAGGATGAGATGGTTGGATGGCATCAGCAACTCAGTAAGTGAACTCCAGGAGATAGTGAAGGACAGGGAGGCCTGGCGTGCTGCCTTTCATGGGGTCGCAAAGAGTTGGACACGACTGAGCAACTGAACAAAAACAACAAAATATCCCAAGGCAGCAGGGATGTCCAGGTGGTCTTCTGAGGAGAGTGAGGAGACATGCTAGTCTCAAGAGTGATGAGAGTTCCCTTCACTGTGACTGGAAAGTGCTTTCCATGGAAGCTGTCCAGCATGGTGGCTCCAAGCGCAAGTTTCAGAGCATGCAGACCTCGCTTGGGGTTTGAATTAGATTTGTCACTGACTCTGTTGACCCTGACAAATTACTGGACCTCATTTAACCTCAGCAATCAGAACCCACTCGCAGTTGGAATGAGAATTAAATTATAGGAGATGATACACTCATAGCACAATATCTTAGAACACAGTATCTTGCACATAACAAGGCCTGAATAAGATATTAGCTACCACTAGCATTGGCAAGTGTCTGTGTGAACCCTGCCATTTTCTCTGGGGTAGTTTTCAAAGTCTTATGCTACATTTCTGTTTCTTCATGCTCACTGTTTGTCAGACTTTTTCCTCAAAGGCCAGATGGTGAATATTTTCAGCCCATGTGGTCTTTGTTGAAACTCTTCAGTTCTGCCCTTGCAACTCAAAAGCAACCACAGACAATCCATACATGTATGGGTGTGGCTGTGTTCCCCTAAACCTTTTTTGCATATACAGGTTGCAGGCTGGTTTTGGCGCAGAGCTACTATTTGTGCACAAAAATATCCTCCCTA